TTTATTTTTCAGAAAGCGCGTTGGCCCACTAACGGCGCGGGATTAGTATTCTCTCACGTCCATTGTTGTTAATTGGTACAGGATGTGTAAACCTTCCGCACAAATGTGAATTATTTGCAATTCTGTGATACTTGCCAGTTGGCACGTAGAAGGTCTAGGTTAGCACTATAAATAGAGTCATCAAGATGACTTCTGCACAAGATTATGTGGTATGATCAGCATACATTAAGGAAAATGAAACATGTTGGAAATAAACAAATTATAGTATGGGAACCGGTATGACGAAAACTGGATAATAATTCCAGTTTCAAAGTTCATTAATGACACGGCACTATCAAAGTAACCGTTGGTTTTTTTGCATTGCAGAGAAAAGTGGTCGCAATCGTTATACGAATAGCGTTGCTGTTATAAAAAGCCTCGGGCATAGTATTACAAATATTAATAAAAAAAAAATTAGACGTAATAGTTGCGTATGAAGACTAATTTTTTGATATGTCTCATACAGATGAAACGTACACGGTTGCCTGCGGACGGTGTTCATCCGAGCAAACAGTATAAAACTGTACTAGCGTAAGTAAGTGGGACAATGTTCGATGGAGCTTGCAAATGGAATTTTTTTTATTACTTTTAGGCACGTCCGTCTGACAAATCAAGCGTAATTAGGCATTGTGGGCGATGAGTAAAGTGTAAAACGACCATTTCGATAGTTATTAATAATTGTGCAATAGTCGCGTGTCTATTCTGACGGGTGAATAGTTAAATGGATTACGGTAGTAGAAATGACGGTTAACGAGCAATGAACGAAAACAATAATAATTACTGTATGTAAAGTAAACAACACTGGTTTAATGCTGCTTAACGAATTGTGCCCGCGGACGTTTCCCGTGTATGCGAACAGTGAAAGTAATGCATGTGAAAACCTTTGGTAAAAATAATATAACTCGTACAATTTTCTTCAATCAAATTTTGTTTTCCTTTTGTTACCGACAATTTGCACGGAGATCGGAAACTAACTACAATCTCATGAGTGAGATTTCAAGTCGCGGATCGTATCTCACGCGGACCTTGGTCGGCACGCGAGCACTAGTAGCCGAAAATCAATATGTAACTTTTTAATGTTACGCACACACGCCCATAGGATACTCGCGGCAGTCATTCAAGCTACAAACATAAATCCAATGTTTTAAATCAGCGCTGGCTATATTTTATAATTTTTGGATAGAGGTAAATGCTATTTTATTGCTCCCAATAAATTGTGATAAACACGATTATTGTTATTAATATTGCATAATACTTTTACAAGCGTGTGGCTAGTTAAGTTTGAAAAATGACTGTTAAATAATCGATCGATATTGTGTTTTATATCCGCGATGCGTATACCGTCGATCGTTGTCAAGCCGTCTCGTTGTCTTGCAGCGCACGATCAAACAAAAAAACTAAAACGTCAATATTTAAAGAAGACCAAATTATCATCGATTGTTTACTTGGCTCGATGGCATAAAAGTGTTGTCTATTGGCTAAGCATTTATGGTTACATTGATCGAAACCATCGAACGTCTTGCGGAGAACAAAGGACTTATGAACCGTGAAACTATTTCGGTCCAGCCGCTGACCATTTAAGGTCGTTAATGTTGTATGCGGGGCCGAGGAGGACACAAGGACAAGATACCCGCAAACATTTCAGGCTAACCGTATCCATTCTTGCGTATGATACAGCTATTAATTTCTCAGCAATTATTTCGGTATACGCGTACAACGAACGGTTTTCTATTAGCGAGGTTAAACGGCCAAAAGTGAAAAACGTTCCCCTTGACCGGTTCTGTGTTTAATAATATGGATTTGCTGAATTGTTGAATAACACAAGAAGACTCTATTCATTGTTGCGATAATCAATACGAATAAAATTTTTTAGTTATTGTTGTCGGCATCTATTCGTGTAATAATGGCGGCGTATCACAAAAGTCTGAAGTCCAAGTCGGTTGATTACTTATTCGACTTTAACGCACTGTCGGCTAAATATTGCAATTCAAAAAGGCTTTTACAGGGTATGCAAAGTCGTTTTATTGACAGTCGATGACTTGTATCATTCAAAACTACTTTCGCTTTAATTTGTGTTTAGATTACGTTAATAGTTTCGTTCTCGGAAATATCAGAACCACTTGTATGGTTCAAACACAATTGGTTTAATTTTACTTTGGAATATTTCAGGTTAATTTACTCAATTTCTTTCCGATCAATTTGAAAACACGAAAATATCTCATCGAATCTACACGAATTTTAAGTTTACATTTTGCAATCCGTTTTCGCCTTATTTCCTTTTCACTCGGTTGCTACGCGGATTTCAAAAATTATGTTTTTCGCACATAGTATTATGTGTTGCAGACATTAACCAATGTACATTATTTATGATTTCGACATCGACATTATTGTCATATTTCGCCATTTTCGCAGAGCCGCTAACTAGTTTGTACTTAAAATAACAATTACATGTATTTCGTCAAATTACATCCGCCATTATCGATATGTGCTTGACGACCCATAAACTATTGCAGTTTAAGTATTAATAGCTTTATCGCGTGTCATGAGGCGTTCGCCTGTGCCAACGAGTTGAACACACGAATCGACCGAGTACACCGGACGTTTTCTTGTTTATAAATAACAATTCACTTGATACATTACATTTCTTGTGCGCAAAGATGTTATCGATGGAATACCGACTGTAATTCTTAGAAATCGTACCATGTGCGCCTACCCCTAGACAGCATTTACGGATTATAATGATTCACAATGCGATCCGGCAAAACCACAAGGGACCTTGACGTTCAGAATTAAAACATCGGAAGCTATGCCAGAGTTCTAATTGAAAAAGTTTAATTAGGATCATTTGACGTAACACTCGAGTAACGATCTAAAGGATATTCGGTATTTATCTGTCAGGGTAAGGTTGGTTTGGTATTTGGGTTGTTACACAGACTGTTACGACATTTTCGTTTTATTTAATTCTACGCGACCAACACTATTTACTTCGATCCGTTTGCGTGCAACAGACAGCCGCTCTCATTAGTTCTGACAATGATAATAAATATTCATTATATAAGTTATTTATCGTGGACGCAGACAATTGAGGATCCGTTTGAATTTATTATTGTGTTTGATTTGGTTACACTGTTGCACAACGTCTTAGGACGGCTAGTTTTTGTTTTGACGGGTTTTCCTACGAGTACAAGTATTAGATACACAGTGAAAAATGTGTCAGAGCGAGTTGAGAGCCTACTTCGCAAATAATATAACTGTAGATTAAAATAAAAATTGTAGTGACGATATAAATTACGTTTAATGAATTTCAAACGGTCCGTCAAAATTGTAGGCAAAGTGTATAGACATGGAATTATTTTTTATAAAAATATGAACAGTTTTGTTTTATTTGTATTGTTCGATATTTTGTTGCTATTTTATATTTTGTCAGCAACCCGGTATAATAATTATATCATTGTGCTGTTATACGAAAAAACGAAATACTCATTGCGAAATGCGTAAACGGAGTACGGCAATAGGTATTTTATAAAAATACATATTTCATTATTTGGATCAAGGTAAACGAATGTCGTGATCGCCGTACCCCCTTATTTGTTCACTATATATCCGTGTACTTGTCCGGAAATTTACCGACAATTGTGACACAAAAGGGTTTAGAAACGATTTTGTAAATAATATCCACTTGTAGTTTTACAATATACTTATTGTCAAAATTTATTGTACAAAACTGCTGTTTTATAATATGTCAACCGGAATCAATATTTATTTTATTGGTAATTTTTTTCAACGTGTTTTTATATTATTTTATGTAATCGTTACTAACATTGCCTATATGCAAACATTTATGGGTCGGCTATGACCGTTGCACAGTATCCGAAAGCAACGTGTTATTATCTAATTGCTTAAATTTTTTCGAGAGGAAATAAACAAGTGTATTTAATTCGGAGTGTACGTATTACTTTCCCTATGAGTGCTATTTAAACGCACATTAAACACTTTGGATATTATCCGGCGACGTCGATAATTAAAACGGTCCAAACGATTAGGTTTCGATACCAAATCACTGCGCACATATTATGACTTTCCCGATATGATGTTTTCACTTGACAATAGACTATACGAAAAAACAACCTCCGAATTCGATTCGATGTAAATGAGACGAGAAATTTTATCGAATTGATTACGACTTTAGGACAAATCCGCATGTCTTTGAATGACATTTGTATAATAGAATAAAACGTTCAACTCGGGTAAGTGACGGTTATCGGTTGTACCAGCCGTATGTTGATATCGTAGAACGGCTCAGGATTAGACTTAAACGTGCGTAACTGACATTCACAACAAACTTCTCGAGAGACAACGTCGGTGTTGTGGTCGTTTTTAAAACATTTTTGTCGTGACATTATGATTTTCGGTATTACGAAATATCGCAGGTTATGCATTTGTTACTTATTCACTATTTTTTCGTATGTACAGATGTAATGTGATTTCTCTGCTTTGTCTGACCACAATGACTATTGATACGTTTTTTTCTCCCACAACCAGTGCGCAGCTATTGTATTTCACGTTTGTCCTGTGTCTCGTAATACTTTCTTCCGATTGAAATCGCGTAACTCGATTAGTTTGAAAAAAATAATAATTTTTTTTTTTTTCTAATCTATCATTTAAATTCTCGAGGGTCCGTAAAAAAAGTTAAAGGTGTCAAAACATGTGTAAAAATAGCTTTCATATTCAGCATAAAATTTATATGTGTACCTTTCTATTCCATAACGTCAAAATAATAACAACTTTTGCAGCTCGTTGTCATTATGTAAAACCTGTCTGTGGAATCGAGTGCGTGTCGCGCGGTTTCGATTTCGCTTAAAATCTCTTTTGCGATTAAAAAACACACTGCTTTATCCTCTAGTAGGTCGCGCTTTTATTTTTCAAACCTCTATTACATTATTATAACTGTTTGAACTTACCCGTTACGACGATACTGGTTTGATATCCGGCGCGTTTGTAGAAAAGTTGAGACCAGCACAAAAATCACAGATTGATTTAAAATTATTAGGTATTTAACAAAAAAAAAAAAAAATTAAAACTAACGTATATAAATAAAAATTGACGCAGATTATTTTCTTAAGTATTTGTATTCTAATAAAATTAATTTGCAACAGCAATTGGTGGCGGCACGAACCGGCGAGTGTGACGACCACTTTCACTGGCTTAAGACCACTCGACGACTATCCGAACTGTGGCCACAGCCAACGGATAATAAGTAATTCTGGCGTGTGTGTGTGTAAGTGTTTTGTATAATGTCGTTACTACTTCTACTATACTACTGCGACTGTTATATAGTAGTTACTACTACTCGTCACACGTAACTCACGATTACTACTGATACTCTGGCCCAGCGTTGCGCTCGTCGATTCTACCCTACTGCCGCAGTCATCTCTTGCGGCAAATGAACGCGTGTGGTCGATGGGTCTGACCCACCACTTTTTTTTCGCTCACGTGCGTTTTGCCACCAAAACGTCTCGCCCTTCTCTTTACAGTGTTTATGCTAAACGTAAGCTCAAGTTCGATGTCGAAAAACGCACTTTTTAGCTAACGAAATCGCCTGTTAATGACGTTCTGTCAAATATACTTAACCGAGAGACTACTAAAAGACAACAACGCTGAAATTAAAACACTTTATCATAAACACAGCACAATACTCGATGCATGTTGTGATTGTTTTGGGATTTGAGAAATTGTTTACTCAAAACGATCAATACTCATTGTGTGCATTTGTTTTTTTATGAATGTACAATAATAAATAGGCTTATCATAATAATATTTCCTCGACAATTACACTCAGTTTGGACTCGTTGAAAGCCTAATTCTTTGCTATTCAGTATGAAAATCAACAAATCACGTGTACGGTTATAATTTATAAGCAGCCTAATAGATCACGTGTGACGACTGTTATATTACTAATAATACTGTCGATGGATTGACAAAATATAAATTTGAAATTTCGTAAACACGTTTATAAGAGAGGATAAGGAATTTATTAATTCTTATAAACCGGTAAAATTGTATTCAATGTTATAACACTATGTGATTTATTTTTCTTTTGAAAATTATGGCAACATCGCCGCGCTAATAGTCAAATTCTTCGATTTCACTATTTAAATGTACTTCTTTGAAGCCAAAATCGATAAAAATTTTCAATTTGACGAGCTAAATTATAGATTTATTATACATCTTCATATTTACTATATTTTTAATGGGAACAAGTATATCTAATTAGAATACTAATGTAACATATAAAATGTTAAACTGGAGCTTACACCAGTTATAATATATGTATTCAATGTTAAATAATATCGATAACTGGTTGGTAAATTACTTGAAGTTAATAATATTATTTTTAATATGATAATTTACTGATTTTTTCTTTATATTAAACATTATCGAATGAAAAAATAGAAAATAATAATACGAAATTATTTCATAGTATTTATCATAAATCAGTTTTATACCTTTGGATAGAATTCAAATGATTTATTATTAGATAACTAAGTCAAGGAAGTGATTTATATATATTTTATATTATATGGTATTCATAATAAGTTGGAATTAGAAATTTATTTTATTTAGATCAAATCTTTTTATTTAGATGGTGATCTACTGCATTATGAATATTGAACACTTTAGTTTTTCAATCATTAATATCAATGTCAATATTTTGTTATAATGCTAAACTTCGTTAAAGTTTTTAATAATTTAAGTTAATAGTTAAATAATAGTTATTCGATACTTTTTTAATTTGTTGATTTACTAGTAAGGCATCATAGAATACATTGTAGGTATGAACAGTTTTTACAAACAATATTTAAATATTTAAGTTAAATTTATTAGTATAGACTAATGATGATTTCAGTAGTGGTTATAATCAACAATAGATTAGTATAATCTGTTGTATTAGTATAATACGAGTAGTATTAATATTGGCTTTATATAGTGGATATAATAAAATATTTTATATGCCCTTTTTTGTAAATATTATAAATATTTTTTTTTATGAAAAATGTATTGGACGTAAAAATACTATGTCTTTTTGCTTATAAATAACGTTAAATATAGAAGAAAACTTATTAATAAAAATTACATATAAATAAATAAATGTTGATTAAATTTTATAGTCAATCTAAGTTTGAAATAATAGGAACTTTCAATAATATAATCCCATCAATCGGGATAGTAATAAATATCTTAATTCATTTTAACTATGATAGTCGTGTAATAAATTTCACCAGTATTTATTTATTGCTTTTATAGCAATTCATTAATTGATTAATTAATTGAATTGAAGTTTTCTCAACGTCTATATGAAAATTTTAATTTTAGATAATATTAAATTATTTTTCTACTGAAGTTGAGTAATTAATTTTTGGCTTAAAAATTTAATTCACCTTAAGCAGGAAAATTCACTTTTTAGTGAAATTAAATATTTCATTTCTTTAGGTTTGTTGATATGGCAAGTTGAATTAGTTGCATGATTAAAATAAAACTAGTTTTGCTGTTTTACTAGCGTGTTAATCTAATTAAACCATAGGTGTCACATAGACCATTAATTAACTATGATTAAAAATAATTTTTTGAAATATTTTTGAATTATGTGTTTTTGCATTAAACTCGTACTATTTCTGTAATATTTTAAAACAATTTTATATGTAATATTTTCCAACTAAAATTAAAACAAGATAAGTCCTTGTCGTGATAATAAATAATATTTTACCCGTTGTAACAGAAATTGTACCGTTTCAAATTGATGTTATTTGTTACAGTGAGTTATGTGCTCAATGAAAGTCATATTAAATAGTTCAAAAATTGTTAATTGAATACAAAAATAGTAACAGACACATACACACACACAAATATGATAATGAATATAAAATAATAAAAAATAAACACATAATAGTAAAATTAATACCTTCCAGATTTGCATAAAAGCTAAAATCTAAATTATTAAATATAATAGAAATTATGATAATTTAATAGTTTTTATAAACTCTGTAATTTTATAATGTATAACTACGAACATTTTAATAAGTAGCAGAAAAAATGTATTTTCTATTAAAATATTTTTGTATTAAGTGTTATGTTAATTACTTACAGGAAAAAAATTGTTTTTGACAAATTTACAATAACTTTTTACCATGATAAGTTAATAAAGCAAAATTTATTATATTTAATAGAAAATTAAAATAAATAGATTAAATTAAAATTATATAACATATATAACCTAGATTTATATATATATATGTATATTTATATATTTATGTATGAGTTATTTCCTCTGTATTTTCATTTAACTAATTTTCCCGAGTTTAAAAGTTCTGTCATTTTTTTAAACTCCTATCTACACACATTTCAACACACCCAGTCAACACGACTTGTGTCTCTTTGGCAAATATTCAACTAATGTTTGTAACCATACCACACATTTGCAATAATAAGTAGACCACGTGTTTGTCAGTTAATTATTGGCAACATTACTTGTTGAGGCTCAATGTCAAGGTGAATACTCGTAAGTTTTAATAAATAGAATATTTATCGAGTCATTAATAACCATACATTTTTTTGACAAAAATTTTTGATTTAATATGTAGGTATGATTTTTTTTAATCTCAAATCATGCGCTAGTAAAAAGGATTCTGTAGGATCATTTTCATTTGTGAGAGCATGCTCTTATTATACATAAAAACAATAAAATAAAATGATATACAATTTATTTTATACTCACATTTCATAGTAAATAAAATAATTTTTATGTTATGACTTCTCATAATTGTTGTTCTCGTAATTTTGAAAAAATAGATTTAAAATTATCACAAACAAAACAATCAAAATACATAAGTATAATTAATCATACAATTTCTCTATTTATATTTATTAATACTATTTAATTTCAATTATAAACTAGAACAAATATGTTGAAGGCGCTATTTGTATTTTTTCCTTTTCTTAAAAAATACTTTACATAACCATATACTTAATTTTCTAAATATTTATGGACAAATTCCAAAATTTGGAGGCTAAATCCAATTAAGTTCCTAGTTACGCCAATGATGTTGATATATAAAGTTTGATCATTATTTGATAAAAAGGACAACTTTTTATTGTTTATACTTATATTTAAAAAAGAAATTTGACCGAATTGAATGTAGTAAATATATAATTTTATGTATATCTAATGAAGCTTAATAAAAATATTCTTTGATAAAAATTGTTTGTATAAAAATTTATCTTCAATAGTGATGTTGAAAATATATGTATGCAAATAAAATATTTTTTGGAAGTTTTGTTCAGAATTTAATAATTTGGTATCGCTATACTTTTTTAGTATCTTTTATTAATTCTTTGTACTGTTTTCTTTATTTAATTTATATTAATAAAAAAAAGGATCTAATGTTTGTTAAATATGTGAAACTTATTCTAGAAACATAGGTGCAATTCAATGGGAGATTTATCAAGATTAATTAATTAAAACATACAAATTTACACTAAAAAACTATCATCATTAAATAAGTAAATTTTAATGTAATTTGTGTCCTTGAGTTATGTATTGGTCATGAATTACTAAGGTTTACATTTTTCCGGAACATTTTTCCTATTATTCAGCCATTACTCATATAGGTATTAATTAATAATATTTTGTGAAAGTAAATTTGTATGCTTGTTGAAATTAAATTTGAAAAAAGTGCACAAGACAAAATAATTTATTGTCATTTACATAAATTAAATTAAGTTTCTCATCTAAATAAAAAAAATTATATTAAATTTATTTAAAATATAATTTTTTATTTTTATGAGTGATAAGTATTATCCCATACAAAATATTTATGTGTAGAAACATGTTTTTTAACATCATTAAACATTTAAAATTAAAAATCCTATATGACATCTTGTTCTCAATGTAATTGTAAAATCTAGACACAGAGACATTTTTCGTATGTAAATTTATCACAAAAAAAAAAATATTTTTTTTATAATTTCGAATAGAAAATAAAATAATATTACCTAATGACTAAATATTTAGCATTAAAAATTAAAGTATTATACGTTTGGTTAAAAAAAAAACAAAAAGGAAAATTTTAAGTTGGTGCCTTAATAATAATAAAAAAATATTTAACAAATAAATAGAATAGAACAAGATATCTTATTTATTACATAACATTATCTTGAAACTATATAATTTTTGGATTTTTTAATTTCAAATAAGTTATTGCAGTAGTTTAATTTTCTTTATCCATAGGGGGCAATTGATTAACAAAATATTTATGTCGAATTACTTTTAATTTTTATTTGTCATTGGATGATCTTGAATGTAAACTATAGATAAATATTTTTAAGGCTTCTTGTCATGTAAAAAAGATCAA